TCCTTCACCTTCTTTTTTGCTAACATTAATTTTTTCAGCCTGTTTAAAGCTCCTTTCAGCTGTTTTCTGCAATTTAAGCTACTTTTTAGATTTTTTTTATCCAAATGCACCTTTTGTGTTAATTTTAGCTGCTTCTTGCAGCTGCTTTATTCAGCAAACATGCTGCTTCTTTTTTTAGATATTTTTCAGCGTTTTTGATTCTTTTACAACAAAGTGAAACATTTTTGTGCATCTTTTCAACATGAAAGATTAACAGTAAAACTTCGAGCACTACGCAACACAAAGCAGGTGAACCACTTCCTGTCCCTACCTTGTCCTCAGAGTGGACTTCCTGTCTGGCCTGGCTCCTCTCTGCAGTTTCCCATGATGCTCCAGGCTTCTGGTAGCAGTGCTCACTGCTGACGTAGCAGATGGCGGGCTCTCCTGTGGGGCTGGAGGCCAGCCTCAGGCCGTCCTCCTGTCTCCAGGGTAAGCTCCACAGCTGCAGGTCGGGGTGGGACGGGGAGCTGCGTGGACAGAGACACAGACAGTTTGTCTCTGTGTGGACCAACAGAACCTGCAGGGGTCCGTACTCACTGCAGCAGGCTGATCTTGAGCTGCAGCCCGTTCAGGACCTGGCTCAGGCCGTGTGTGTGGGCCAGCAGGCGGCCCGTGTGCAGAATCTTGGCGGCGTTGATCTCAGAGTAGTTCTCCTTCACACAGGACAGACCAAACATGGAACCTGACATCAGCAGATCAGGTTCTGACAGGAAACGCTGAGCCCGCCTCCAACCTGCAGACCAGGTGAGCCAACAGGAAACATAAGACGTGACGCAGACAGGAACAGGTCCTGGGGGCGGGGCCTTACCTGTGCTCTGTCTGCAGTAGTAGCAGGTGTAGTTGTGTGGAACGTTGTCCTCATATAAGCCCATACAGGTGCCGTGCTGCCAGCACAGACACGACTCACACTGCAGAGAACCAGGACACCATCAGAACCTCTTCTTTTAATAAAACTCTGTTAGGGCTGCGTGGTGTCTGTCACAGACGGTAGAAACTGACCCTCTACTGTCATTACATCATCACACCTGTGTCAACAGGGCTGTGAGTGCAGACACACCTGAGCAGGAGGAGTTGGTAAAAGAGAGAGAGAATAAATCCTCAACACGTCCTCCTCCTGCTGTACAACAGTTACGTTGTGTGGCAGGACAGGGATTGTTTCCTCCTCCCTCCTGCTGCACGTCACGCAGAGTGCAGCTTTAACAACTCTAGTTTTTTCACACAAGTTGTCGGAGAAAAAACTTGTTTTTTATGTTTTTTTACCCACAGAGATGAAAAAAAGATGTGGACGTTCCTCAGTCATAAATCCATCTTATTAACACAACAGTTCTGTTCAGATGATGAAGATGATGAAGATGAGAGCAGCAGAGGGTCAGTTCAGCAGGCAGAGGCTCATTGTATGGCAGGCAGATATTACATTTATTTGGCTTCACCACACTTACCACATTTATTCATGTATAATACGATTATCATGTTTTGAGCTTACAAAGCATAAAAATGTAACTATCAATAACCCGTATATAATACTATCCCCCCACTTTATGGATGATTTTTAGTGTTAAATTTCTAGTAAAATACATGAATAAATACAGTATATTCCAGTTATGTGAAACAGTTTTATGACAGGACTCTGTGCAGCTGAAGGTCCTGTCACACTGTAACACTTTAGACAACTTATGCCAACAGAAATGTTTTTATGGTTAAATGAGTAATTTTACTTGAAGTACTGGTTATAATATCCACTTTATTTTAATGTTGAAAATTTGAGAAATGTTTTTGTTTGTTGTTGAAACCGTTATATAACATTTATAAAACATTCTTCTGTACTTCTATGTTCATTTACACTACAGCAAAATACTGGGTTTGATTATGATTACAGTTTTCTGCTAAATAAATGCTCTAAAAATTACATTATCTTTTCTTTTTATGATCATTTTCCACTGTGATATACAGTGTGATGTGTATAAAACAGTGTGATATACATACATATATCACAGTAACAGTATATATCACAGTAACAGTATATATATCACAGTAACAGTATATACTGTACATCACAGTAACAGTATATATATCACAGTAACAGTATATATCACAGTAACAGTATATATA